TATTCTACCGTGTTACTACACCGTGTTACTGTCGATTAATCGGTGTTATTCTTAATTTCCTCGTGTTATTCATACGATCAAAGATTTGTGATAAATTTTTAAACTATTTTAGATAAATTTTACATTATAAATTAAATAGGATAGGTAATATTAGTATATTTATTGGCTCTGGGTGTTATGTACGTGTTACTCGTGTTATGTACGTGTTACTCCCGTTTTACTCAGGGTGTAGCATATGCGTTATGCTCGTGTTACTCTAGTGTTATGTACGTGTTACTCCCGTATTACTCGCGGTGTACCACATGCATTACTCGCGTGTTACTCTCGTGTTATCCACGTGTTACTCCCGTGTTACTCAGGATGTAGAAGATGTGTTACTCTCATGTTACTCACGTGTTATCCACGTGTTACTCCCGTGTTACTCAGGCTATAGCATATGCGTTACTCTTGTGTTGTCAAAAACATTTTTCCACATAAAATTCAAGATAAAATTTTTCTATTAATAGGGGGATTAATAAGAGCATCAGAAACATATTATCTTAAAAGTATAATTTAATTCATATTCCTTGAGGGATATACAAACATACAAAGTATCAAATTGTAAGTGTATCCAATATACAAAGGACGAAACTATAAAACTGTTTATAACTGAGGACTATACAAATATACAAAGTATATAGAAGAAAATTTACTATAAAGTCATCGACAAGATGCAAATGTCATATACAAATTCAGCTCTAAATCGTTCTATATCATCCTGCAAATCTATATGCTCACTCCAATGGACTTCTTCGGCCTGCACTAATGTTTCTATGTACTTGCAGAAGAACATGCCGCAATCAACATATTCCTTTGAGAGTGTACATTCTTAACAATTGATAGTGACCATTTATGAATTTTAGCTAAAAATACATCGGCGGCATCTCTAGCAAATATTTTGACCTACATAGTTGAAGCAGTATGGTGTTACTCTTCGAGTGCTATTGTATTACTCTTAATTGAGTTGAATATACTTACAACGTTCTTAGTGTCAGTCTTATGCATCTTGTTAGGTAGTGAGACGTATATTCTTCATTTTCTCAGCTTGAGATCTTCAACCAACAAAATCCAATGTTGATTATGAATGATTGGAAAGAAAAAGGTTTCTGCATCTTTAACGGTTTCCTTGGTGATATGTTTCACATAAGGTTTGCTACCATATTTCTTATGCATCTATATAAATATATTAGTTTAAATGTGCAAGGAATATATGAATTTAAGTTGTATGTATAAATACAAGTTGTAGAACATACCCCATACATTGGTGAAACATACAGGTAAAGCCGATACAACTCTAGTCTCCTTAAAGTTCTTTCGCGCAGCATGACAACAAATATATCAACATGTTTGTCTGCAAGTCACTTATTTAATAATATATCTTCCAGTGCCGATCAGTGAATCAAAATATGATATCTGGTAATGATAACGTCACTACATTGAGACCAAAGATAGTTCCTCTTAATTAAAAGGAAAAAATCTGCATAACATTAAAATAGTGTTGGACATTTACTTACCTTCTAGTGTATCTGGATAGACACTGATCTATTTCTTCCTGCATTTCAATTGATATGAATTACCTACCAGGATACTCAATAGTTGAAGCTGGAGGACGTAGCTGCAAAATAAAATAATCCATGAATAACACGAAATAAAAGTATATAAGATATGTTTCAAAGCACTTAACTATATTATTAACTTACAACTATAATATAGCATATTGGTCTGCATTAGAACTGGGGCTTTGATTAGGTTGCTGATACCCGGGTGCATCTAAGATTTCCTCATCTGAAACTTGGACCTTTTGGGGATCACCTTTTTTTGAATCAGTATGTACATCATAAGTCAAAAGACGCGTCTAAAAAAATATTGTTAGAGAAAATAAAGTAGGAATGTATATCATTAATTAGAAATTAAAATGACGCACTTACCGATTGGGCCAGAGATTCAAGAACACTTTTTATTGCTCGTTCCACTTCTTTAGGGTCTTCATGGATTGTCTCATCACACATATCTGCATCTTGTGCTTCTCTTATTGGTTCTTCGGCGTCTCCGGTCTGTAAGGGAACATCAATATTTCTTATTGTTTGTTCAGGTACATCTATATTTACCGGAGCAACAATATCCACATCATCAATTTTTCTACGTCTTCTCTTAAACTGGTATTGAGATGCTGGGGGGTCCACTTTCCTCTTTTGCTGATGACCACTACTGCTGGTCTTCTTACTTGTATCAGATATTATTTTCTCAGTGAACTTCTCAGCCTTGGTTTCAACTAATCTATGCACCAAACCTGTTAGGGTGGACAATGCTTCTACCACAGTATTCATCTTTGCACTCATACTAGTAACACTCGGTTGTATGTCCGGGTACTGGGGTTATATCACTAGAAACAATTGTACCCCTGTCATACGATTTAGGTGAAGATGGTCCTGCAGTACTTTTCGTGATGTGGAAGTTGCCTTGCAGGGATTGACGGTCCCTACTCTAGATTTTCGAGGAGTTTTACCTTCATCATTACTCAAAGCTAAGAATCCGTCATTAATAAGCTAGGAATCCGTCATTAACTACAATGAAAATGTATTCGTTAGAATCGTTGCAATAACTCTTAGAAAGCTACTACAAAGATGTGCCAATAAGCTGTAATCAAAATTAAATGGTTTACATGATCAAGTTTCTTGAAGGTTTCATGAATTTTCTCAACACTCAACCCATGATTGGTTGACCACCTCAGCATGCGAGGTCTAGAGTCAGGAGCATCTGGAGTTAAAAGAGAGGTGCGCTCGTAAAACCAAAGCTGGGGATGTTTTAGACCATCAACATGTATGCAAAAGTCAGTACATCAAAAAAAAATCATAAGAGTGATGTTTCAATGTAAATAAAAAATACTTATTGTTAGGAGAAATACAAATCCTTGAATGTAGCCAATTGACTTATTCTGCCTTAATTTCACTGAGGCAATTCTCTCTTGATCGATGATCATATGACATATGGCAGCAGACCAATTAAATGACAAAAAAACTTGTACATTTACAACAAAAGAATATAGCTCTGCAGACACATGAAAATTGCTTAAAGGAAAAAAAATAAGTTAGTTAGTAAGAATTTCAAGTATAACTGCTCAAAAGGTGGAGTGGAGGCTCCTTCTGCAAAAAAGTTTGTCAGTTGGTTCTTTATTTGTCTGACATCCACCTTTGATAGAGGTCATTTTTTTTCCATGAAACATGCTCTCCTTTGTTCGACATCCCTATCAACAGAGCCACGTGGTCAGCATGTAACTTAACCTTCTTTCCACCCATTTTGAAGACACCCCTCTCATTATCCCAACATCTCAAAATATGTAAAGTCATGACATTGTCCTGGGGATATGGGGGCATGTCAAAGAAGTTGAACACCCTAATTTCCTTTAAATTATTAATGGTCTCCTCTGAAAGAAGATCTCGAATTGCATCCAAGGCTCCTCTCACTGCAGATGGACGACATCTACAGTTGAAAGTCCTTGCACTCATGATCCTGCAAATTAAAGAAATAATGACACATTATTAGAATAACAGTCACAAGAAGGGAATAATACATGAGTAACACACCGACATAACACAATAATAACCCTACATAGGAGCATGGATAATACAAATGCATAACTAATTACACACCTCTAACACAGGAGTAGTACATGAAACACACTTAATTAATAATACCCCTAAACACATCAATAATACATGAATAACACGCCAATAACACACGAGTAACACACCAGTAACATAGTAAAAACAGAGGAAAGCAATACACGAATAATAGAAGAGCAATGCAAAAATAACACATCATACTTATGACATTAATTAATAATAACCCTAAACCCATCAATAATACGCAAATAACACGAAAATAACGCATGAGTAACACAGTTAATGCACAGTAGAATACCACATTAATAATAATACAAGAATAACACTAAACCTATGTCATTAATTAACAATCACCCTAAACAGAAGCATATGACATCAATATTACATGAATAACACGGTAATAAC